TAAATTGTTCCATCGTACTGTGTTTTGTGTGTTGTGTGTTGTGTTTTGTGTTTTGTGCATCGTCTAGACATAAGACACTCAATTTTTTGGAAAATGGCGGTGAGTCGCAGATTTAGGAGTGTTCAAAATAATCTCCACAATCCTCCCCTATAAAATATATCTATTAATGTATAATATGTCAAACTGGATGGACTTTGTTAAAAGAGTCTTTAAAAAAGGAAGGGCCACCGACAAGACCTTCAGTTTCAAGCAAGCAATGATTGACGCTGGTAAGCGTAAAGGAGAAATGACTAGTATTGCATCTAAATCCTCCTCCTCGCGGAGGAGGGGATCTGCAAAGTCTGCAAAGAAGTCATCCTCTCGGAGCCGGAGTAAGAGAAGTCGTTCGAAAAAAAGGCACAGTAAATAAAGTAAACTGGTGAAGGGTAAAGAGTAGAGTGACGTTTAATTTCACAAAATATTATTTGAATGTATGTAAATAATGTTTTACGAGGCGGTAGAATTTTTTAGAGATTCATCCGACATTTCGGGTGCCCCTTCGTCTAAAGTTAGGCCAGTCGCTGAATGTGAACAAAAGCCACTGCAATTCGAGCTTCCAATTGAATATTTACAATCGAGCGACCGCCACGAAATATCTTTGGTGATCGCCAAGGATGTTGAACTTGTTTCAGACACAACAACGTCCATGTATGAATACATTTTTGACTCTTCTGGGCATATATTTGCACAGGAAGTTATGCCCAGGTTTGAAAAATATTTCACGACGAATACTGATTTTTTACGTGACAGTCAGTGCGTCGTTCGAAATATGAACCTTGTTTTTCCCCAAAAACCATGTGAGATCTCTTGTGAAACTATCAAAAAAAATTGGTCCAACGTTAAAAATGACCCGAATTTTTTAGAAACGTACGGCTACTTAGAATGGAAGACACTTGAGGAATATAATAGTTCGTCAGTTGTGTTGCAATCAATTTGTATCGCACAAATGATGTCTCCTTTATCTAGCTTTTTACTTCCTCTTCTTTTCTTTCTTTTCCCATTCGTCATTTTAAAAATACAGGGAGTTCCAATTACGTTTGGGATTTACCTCACTGTTTTGCAGAACATCGCACAGAATCACTTCATTGGGAAAGCCATCAACGGTCTACAGTCCATGGCTTTTGACAAGTTGTTATACATTGTAGGTATGTTTTTCTTATATTTGTTTCAAATGTATCAAAACGTCATACAATGTATGCGTTTTTACAACAACACAGAAAGGATTAATAAAGAACTCTGCGATTGGAAAAAATATATCGCATATTCACTTCGAAATATGAGACAATTCGTGGAAACGAATAAGCAAATAAAAACATACGAGCCCTTTTCTAACGATATCAGACGCCACATTGGTCGTTTGAAAGAACTAGAAGCCTTGCTAGACCCGGTTTGTCCATTCCAATGTAGTATTTTCAAATTTGTTGAGATTGGGTATATATTAAAATGCTATTACGTTATCCATACTGATGAGACTTACGCAAACAGCCTGTGTTTTTCAATGGGTTTTGATGGATACCTCCATTTAATGAAGGGACTCCATACGAACCTCGCAAATGGAGTTGTGAACTGTGCGCAATTCGCAGAGGAGGATGTCCCACAAGATGAAACTTCTGTTCAAGATGAAACGCCTGTACCAGACGAAACGCCTATACCAGACGAAACGCCTGTACCAGACGAAACGCCTATTCAAGATGAAACGCCTATTCAAGATGAAACGCCTGTACCAGACGAAACGCCTGACGAGGCGCTAGAGTATATTGTTAATCAATTTTATCCGGCCCACAAGGGAGACGCATCTCTTGTAAAAAATAGTGTCAATTTGGACAATAATAATGTTATAACAGGTCCGAATGCATCTGGTAAAACCACCATTTTAAAAACCACAATTTTAAACATTCTCTTTTCTCAACAACTTGGAATGGGGTTCTACGAGTCCTGTTGTTTTACCCCTTACTCACATGTCCATTCATATCTAAACATCCCAGACACATCAGGGCGAGACAGTCTTTTCCAGGCAGAATCGAGACGGTGTAAAGAAATTCTCGACTGTATTTCAGCCAACCCCAAACAACGCCACTTTTGCATTTTCGACGAGTTGTATTCTGGCACGAACCCAGAGGAAGCAACAAAGGCTGCCTACGCATTTATGATTTACATCAGTGCAAAACGGAACGTCAGGTTGTTTCTGACCACGCACTATGTCGCACTTTGCGATAAATGGCGCGGCGAAAAAATAAAAAACTACCTTATGGAAGTTATCGAAGATGATGATTTGTTAGAATACACGTACAAAATACAACCAGGAATTTCCAGAATACACGGGGCAAAAAATATTTTGAAGCAAATGGACTATCCGCAAAGTATTATCGACTCGATGTGAAAAGAAGAATGAAACCACCATTCACAACAAAGTTTACGCGTATGACCTCAACGACCACAGAGGTTATTATTTGCAACACACAACCACCCTACCATTTATGACCGTTAAAGTTTTCATAAATTTTGAAATAGCAGAGCACCACATCTTTAGAATATGAATATGAAGTAACATTCATATCACCACATTTAGAGTGAACAACATTTATTTCATCAAAAGTTATATCGAATTCTGAGAAATAGTTGATAATATCTTGGCGAAGATCTTCAAATGATTTTGAGAAAATCATTTCAATGTTATTAAAATTGTCGTTGCAATATAATGCATGAAATTTTCCATCTGGAAAGATCACATAATCACTAACACATTCATAGTCTTCCTCATCTAAATTTGATGGAAAACTTTCATCTTCGTTTAATCTTATAAATTTAGAATCCTCTCCATTATTTGGAATCCAAAGTTGTGACATATTTGTTAGTTGTTGGTTGGTTGTTAGGTAGTGTTGGATAAATAAATTGAATCAATTTTATGTGTTTAACTTACGAAACTATATATATATATAATTTTATTGCAATATATATATAATTTATGTCCGATTTCGAGAGCGTTCCCGTGTTTAACCATTTAAACCAAGTCAAGGCATATATTGATGTGAATGGATGTTTACCGGCTAAATTTAAGTTGTTAATTATTATTGACCAATGGAATGATTTTGTTAAAAACGATACGGTTTACAGACCCCATCTATTTACACTAAAAAATTGGTCCATCATTTTTGAAGAACTAAGGCAATATATTTGGTCTTGTGATGAGCTGCCTTCTTGTGATACAGCACTAGGAAAATGGCTCAAAATGCAACAAACAAATTACACAAAAAAACTTTTTATCATGAAGAATCCCGACATATTTGACGAATGGACGGAATTTATGAATCACGACTGTTTCAAGTACCATTTTGTGACAAATGCTGATGAAACGTGGTATTTTTTTTTAAATCGAATTAAAGAAAAGACCGACTCCTGGTTAAGGATGCTCAGTGGAGCTACACACGAGCCATATTATTGTGGGCACTTGAGAAATATGGTTGTGTTAGATAACAAATGTCAAACATGGATTGAAACACAAATTAAAGATTATGAAGGAAAACAAAACATGATGGACACCCCCAAAATATACAATGAATGGACTGAATTCATTAAAGACCCCAACTACAAGAAACTCTTTTTAACAAATGCGGGAGAAAAAATAACTTTTACAAATCAGAGCATAATTATAACTGGCTGGTTACGGATGTTTACTAAAGTCAAATTGTTCATTGATTCAAATATACCATTGTTGTCCACAAACTCGCGCAAAAAAAGAAATCCCAACACCCCTTTGGGCAAGTGGGTATATTATCAGAATAAAAATTACAACAAGAACAAAACGAGAAAAAGAGACATGAAAATTGATGAACTACATAAAAAATGGCACGATTTCATCCATCATCCTGTTTACAGCAAATATTTCAAGAAAATTTAATTCGTCATGTTCGTAAAAACCTTTTTCTACAGTATCAACACCTTAACTACCCTCAATACCATTATATTGTATATATTGTATTTTATTTATATGATTATGATTACTTGAGTAAATATTATATAGCATTATTTACAGGAGAATAAAGTTTGGAAGGAGAATAGTTATTAAATTCATGAATTAATTCATAATATGTTTAATTAAAAATATGATAATCATAAATGTATTCTTGCGTGATCATTCCGAGTGCTGCTATCATCGCAAGTCTTCCATTGTTAAGTTCAGCGTTTTCTATAAACGCATTATCTTTTTTAATAAATGGCCCATTAATCCCGAGGTCGCCAGGCTTATAATATTCATCCATTACAAACAAGTTAGACGCATTTTTAAAGGGATTTTTCCAACCCAGTTTAAGTGACCGAGTTTCAGCGAGGGCTATCGCTAAAAAAGGGATAAACATACCGGTGTCATCCAACGCATAAATAGCCGGTTGATGTGTAACTATTTCAGTTGCTGGGATAGCAACTGCTGCTACCATGCCCCATCTACAATGCTTAAGTTCGGCTTCACGTAGTCTTATTAATTCAGTAATAGGTTTGTTATTAGAAAAACCGAGCGGGTCAAAATATCCAAGTGGTTTCGTAGCCCCTATTCTTCTATCAAATCCAAATGCCGTTGCGAACCAAAGCATGCATACGCGAATGAAGTAATACATTTATTAATAAATCATAAAATACGTTTAACTACATTTTTACAAAATTAGTATAGTTCTTCATGATGATGTACTTCATAAAAAATTGATCGTTCGATCGAAATAATGAAGGTCTCTCTCAAACATCACAATCACAATCACACTCAACTTTCTCAACATGGTAGTTGACATTATTGGAATTATCTGCGTGGGGCTGTTCGTAACGTATCTGATGATGTACTTCAGAAACGACAGGAGGAGAGAGTAGAAAAAAACATAAAATATAAAAAAAATAGAATTGACGCTCTTTCGTCTTTTTTTATTCCTCTGTTCAAGAATGTGGAAGTAAATAATATTACAAAAGTGTAATATGATTGCATTCTGTGGGGTTCGAACCCACGCGTTTTTCAACACCAGGTCTTAAGTCTGGCTCATTAGACCACTCGGACAAGAATGCACTGTGCACAGGTGCGGATTTGATGAACCGCAGACCTTTGGCTCATAAGACAAATGCTCTAACCAACTGAGCTACAAGTGCAGTAAAAATTGATTGGAAGGCTGTGGTCGTGTTTATACATCATATGGTAGTAATGTGTAACAATATTATGTTTATTAAATTTTGTTAGTTGTAAAGCTAACCTGTGTCTGACCTGGAAGGGAGTTAAATGGACTGTGCAATGAGCTCGATCAGATTTGCATCGCCGAAGAGTGGGTGGAGGCAGGAGGGGTCTTCTACGGCGAGGGAGTGGAGTCGGCGCAACTGAGCCACTTCGGTCGTCCGCTTCTCTCGCTGGCCAAGCAGCACGTGGATGGGTCCGGTGCGAGCTGCGCAGAGGCTCGGGTGGAACTCCCAGCTCAGGGCGTTCGAGAAGAACACCTTGTCACTGTCGAACATGGAACTCATACCTGTCACCTTTTGCACATTCCACTTCCGCAGGGAGTGGGTAAGTGAAGAGGCGGCGAGTTGCTGGCTGAGTGCGGCAGCGCCAAGAAACATGAAGCGCATGTCGGTCACGCTGGACACATCCCAATCACTCAGTGGCTGGTTGAATGCAGCGGCGAGACTGAACATCCCGCTCATGTCCGTCACGCTGGACACATCCCAATCACCGAGGGGCTGGTTGAACGCGACGGCGAGACTGAACATCTCGCTCATGTCCGTCACGCTGGACACATCCCATTCACCGAGGGGCAGGTTGAACGCGGCGGCGGCATAGAACATCCAGGCCATGTCGGTCACGCTGGACACATCCCAGGTACCCAGTGGCTGGTCGAATGCGGTGGCGTTGTGGAACATCCTGTCCATGTCTGTCACGCTGGACACATCCCAATCACCGAGGGGCTGGTTGAACGCGACGGCGAGACTGAACATC